AGTCCCAAAACCGATAACCGAACTCATCACCGCCATAACCAACAAAGACATATTTGTTGGACTTAGCATCAAGTTTACTTCTTTCAGCAGAGTCTATGTGTACATAAGAAATACAATCAAACACTCTTAAGTGTGAAAGGTTTATTTCTTTCTTGTTCCAAACTTTCTCTGGTATTCTGCCATCCAATGGAACTGAGGGCCCACAGTTGATCAGGTAAGTTGCAGTGTTGATAGCTTCAGCCCATAGAAATTTGGGCAATCCGGCATATATCCTCATACTTCTGGCACGTTCATTCAGAGTTCTGTTCATGCGCTCTGCTACGACATTCTGTTGTGGTGTCATGGGAACTGTTGTCTCCATCTTGATCCCATTGTTTGTTTAGAAATCTCTGAATCTATTGTTTTTTTACTCTCATCTATTATCAGACCTCAATCGCTTGACTTTCAAACCAGTCTCATTTTTTACCATGGCCTTCCATTTTCTAAAGGTATCAAAGACTTCTGATTTCTTCTTCAGAAAATAAACCCACACCTTCCTTGTTGAATCATCGATGAAAGTGACATAATACAATGAGCCTGCAAGAGATGGAACTGGAGATGGTCCCCATACATCAGTATGAACCAACTCTAACTTTTATGCCTTGGGTGTCTTACCAATCTTTGCAAAACTGACTTTCTTTTGTTTGCCAAAGATGCAATCTTCACATAGTTTGACATCTACATTCTTTAAATCCGGCAACTTCCCTTTTGACAAAAGTGTCTTCATCCCTTTCTCGCTCATATGACCAAGCCTTTGGTGCTATAGGTTTGATTTTCCATCAGCATCTGCGGCTGCAATGATATTCTTTAAATTTGAGGTTACATAGAGAGTATCAGTCTTCTTACCACGAGCAATGACGAGTGCTCCTTTGGTAATCTTTCATTCACAGCCTGAAAAGGTTGTGCTATATCCTTCTCCATCAAGTTGTCCTACAAAAATTAAATTTTTTTTAGGCCAGGAATATGTCTCACTCCTTTCAGCTTCCAGGTGGTCTGGTTTGGCAACTTTAATCGGATGTCTCCTTTTCCGACGATCATCAAGGTTTCATCATCAGCTAGATGAACCTTCCCAAAATCACCACTGACATAGTTCTCCATGATTTCTTGGCATGGGGCGGAGTGGAAAGATGCCCCTGAATCCAAAATCCATGATTCAATCGGACTGTTGACGCTTAGAATCATGGCATTACCTGTCTCCTCTGTCATGTTGGCAGATTCCTATACGCCGGTGTCTTTCTTCAGTGCTCGACAATCTCTTTTAAAGTGACCATTCTTACCACAATTATAACAGGTAAAATCTTTATTTCCCGTTCTTGATTTTCCCCTTCTGGATTTCGATCTGCCACGATTTGAATTTCTTTCTGAATTTCTTTTTGAATTTCTTTTTGAATTTCTCCCTCTAGCCTCCGTGTGCAAGGTTGATGCTTCACCCGATTCTCTCCGTCAAATTTCTTCACTCAATACCAGATCCTGAACATCGTCGAATTTCAATTTGTTGTTTCCCGACGAGCTGTTGACTGTTGTAACAGTAGTATTCCAACTGTCTGGTAGAGATGATAAGAGAATTAAAGTTTGAACTTCATCATCGAATTCAATTTCCACGGAACTCAACTGAGTTATGATTGTGTTGAGTTCATTTATGTATTAAGCCACTGATGCCCCTTCCGCCATCCGCAAATTGAATAATCGCCTCATCAAATGAACTTTGTTTGAGGCTGATGGCTTCTCATACATACTGGAGAGAGCCGCCATGGTCTTTTCATTTGCTATGTTGAAAGCAACATTTCGGGACAACGTCAGTCGGATAACTCCGAGGGCTTGTCTGTCGAGAAGAGCCCAGTCTTCATTCTTCATGCCCTCTGGTTGTTTTCCTGAGAGAGGTTGATATAGATTTTTTTGGTACAGAAAATCTTCAATCTGCATCTTCCAAAAGTCAAAGTCTACACCATCGAACTTTTCAATTTTCACATCCCCTTCGTCTGCAGTCATCGCTCCCACTCGAATCTGGCTTCTTTGGATCGTTTATGATAATTCTTGAGAACCACCGTGTATTAGAACACCTTCTTCGACAAATTCGTATCGTTGACAAAATTTTCACTATTCACTATTCACGCGAATAGTAATGAATAGTAACCTCGCACAAAAAATTGACAAAATTCACAACCAAAAGCTCTGATTACCACTTGTTGGGAAATAAACCGAGTACGAGTAATTTCCCTATAACCAGATTAGTGAGAATGCGAAATAAAAGCGGAAAAATAATACCCGAAATTGATAACGGAGTTCAACTAATTATGCCTACGTCTCCGGACTGCTGCAGATCTTTTACTAAGAGAAAAAAATTTACAGGTGTTTACAAAACGCTCACTACTCACAAGAAAACTCTCTAGTATTGGGAGAAAGAAAAAAATGATTTGGGATGATTTTGAAGCTAAATGAGCTAGAATATTTATAGTTGAAGCTTAGGGACTAATCTTTAAAAATACCCTAAAATACAATGACTAAATGTGTGATTATCCCTTGCATATTTTCGATAAAAATTTGCCACAGCCGTCCCACGATGGCTGCCAAATATTGTTGATTGACTTTTCAACTCCAACAGTACAACCATTTTTGCTTCTCGTGGAATATAAAGGAAATCAACATACCAAGCTTGGCGCAGTAGGACGCGATCATACGGACTGCTGCTAAAGGACTAGTCTCTGAAGGCGGTAAACATCTTGATTATATGTCTGAACAATCAGCTTTTCAAATCCGAAGGTTCAAACAAGTTTTAGTCCTTCGAAAACGCCCCAAAGCTCTGCGTCAAAAGGTTTTGTGAGACCTAAATATTTTGTAAAACCTCCCAGACAAGAGCCGGAATGATCTCGGAAAAGGCCTCCAATGGCACCGTGACTAGTGGAGCGAGAAACATCACCATTCGTGTTTAAAACGATCCAGCCATCAGCAGGCCGTCCCCACCGAATATAAATTGGTTCCGAAGTAGCCTCGGATCTTTCTCTAGTGGCATTCAACATAATATTTGTTCCATTGAATACTGGAATGAAAGAATCAGCAGCTACAAATTGGTGTCGGAAAACAGCAAGATTTTTTGCTTTCCAAAGTTGCCAGATTAGGGATGCAAACAACACATTCCAAGGGCCTTGAATCTCAGTACAAAACAGCGTTGAATGCAGATTTTCAAGCAATCAATCATCGAGGGAGCTTGTAAAGAAAGTAGGCGATGGGTATTTCGCAAGCAAGAAGTTCCAAATCCAACGAGCATTTTGACGGTCTCTTAAGATATGAAGCATCGTCTCACTTACAGCAGCACAAACGATACATGAAGGATCTTGACTAAAACCTCACACGCATCGAACGGGATTTGTAAGAGCTTTATCGTGCATGGCCAACCATAGAAAGCCACGAACCCGTTCGGGAATCGGGAGCTTCCAAATGACAGACCAGCAAGTTCGTTTTTCTCCCCAAGACGAACGGCATAGCGTTTAATAAGCACTTTTATCCGTGAAAACTTGATTTTCACTTCCAGACCAATAGCACACATCGGTTCCCATGGTAACATTTGGATCAAGACAACGACGAAGTTGAGGAATAACAACAGGTGATAAGAGAGACTCGATCGTGTCCCAGTTCCAATAGTCATCAGGATGGATAACACTCTCAACTTGAAGCGAGATATCAAGGGGCCGAGTAGAAGATGCAAAATTTATAAGAGGACCAATCTATCCGTCCAAAAATTAATTGAAGATCCATTCCCCCATAGACCATGCAAGATATGCATAGAAAGAAGGTCACAAGTTAGATAATTGACGACAAAAAGGAGAGCATGCAAGCGAGAAAGGATAAACCTCTGCAATCATATATTTTTCCCGTAATAGCCGAATCCAGAAATCAGACGATGAATGAATTAAGGCGTTGCAAACTTTAAAAAGAAGTGCAACGTTTTGGAAGTCCATCTGCCTCAATCCTAAACCACCCTTCGACAAAGGCTGACAAAGTATCCCATCGGACTAACTAGATGGACGAAGCATGGGGTTTGGAACCCCAAATAAAACGATAGATAGCCCGTTCAATGTCATCACAGAGGGATTTCGGAAGTTTACTAACTTGCATAATATAGGCTGGGATACTTTGCAGAATCGTTTTAGCAAGAGTAACTCTTCCCATGAATGAGAGGAATACACACATATATATATATTATAAAAACAGAAGAGAATAACATTAAATTATAAACACTAAATATGCTTAAAATGAATAAATAATACAGAATAATATGAGAGAGGAAAAAATGGAAGCGACCCAAACTCACATGGCAAACCTAGCTCAACATTAACAGCAGAATAAATAATACAATTGGGCTTGATTATGTTCCATCATCACGTGAATTTCTGGCTACAACAAGCAAATAATGCAGAATTTCATCCAAGACCATATAAGTAGAAAGCACGAAGGATAGTCAAAACAGAAATCAATATGCGGACATAACACAAATGTTTTAAATTTATTATAATAATTTTGAGTGATTATAAGATATAATATGTTTAAAAATTTTCTTAGTCAATTGATAAATGATAACTCATATTTATTCTGCATACGGAGTTATTCCAACCTAGAGAACAACATTCATTTTCATCATTGAAATCATTTGACAGTTCCAAGCTTCTTATTTTCCGAATAACTATTTTGTTCTTTCTTAGCCGCCACACCTGCTACACGATTGAAGGTGAAGCAAGTGATAAAATACTCTTTTCACTCGATGATCTTCCCTAGGTCGACCACGTGCTACAATTCAATCTAGCGGACAAAGTTTAATCCGTTGTCTGCTATTGTTCGACCGGACAAATTGACTAATATTATCTACAAATCTGCACATGGACCTGCATTCTCAACACCATCATTTGTCATTCTCTTTCTTTTTCTATAAACAGCTTCTTCAATCCTCCATGTTTACCAGCCCTGCAATGGAGATCGTCAAGGACATTGTGATTGTGGGGGCTGGAATTTCCGGTCTAACTACATCCTTGGGACTTCACAGGTACATACATACATCGACGCGTACCCGCAACCTTCCATTTGATCATATTGTGTGCTATGTACTAACTGAATCAGAACCATTGCAGGCTTGGGATTCGAAGTTTAGTTTTGGAATCATCGGACAAATTAAGGATCACCGGCTTCGCATTCACGACGTGGAACAATGCCTGGAAAGCCTTGGATGTTCTCTGTATCGGCGAATCTCTCCGCCGACAACACCACCTTACTCCAAGGTACTGCATTTTAACTACATTGAAGCTTCAGTTAGCTATAAAACCGACGTTGATGGTGTTTGAACCTGGGTTCCAGCATGCTTGTTGCCTCTACATTTTCAGTCCAGCCAGCATCAGAGATATCGTTTAAGGGTCATGAAGTTCGTTGTCTTCAAAGGAGATCGTTGTTGGAAGCTTTGGCAAATGAACTCCCTATTGGAACTATCAGATTCTCTTCTAAAGTGGTTTCCATTGAGGAATCCGGGTTCTTTAAACTAGTGCATCTTGCCGATGGATCCGTTCTCAAAGCCAAGGTGCTGATCGGGTGTGATGGGGTGAACTCGGTTGTGGCAAAATGGCTTGGTTTGGAGAAGCCTGTTTTCACAGGCCGATCAACGGTTAGGGGTTACACAAAGTTCAAAGGCGGCCATGGTTTTGGACCGGAATTCCGACAGTTCGTCGGCAAAGGTGTTCGATCTGGCCTACTCCCTTGTAATGACGAGAATGTTTACTGGTTTTTGACGTGGACTCCATCCACCAAAGGTACCTAAATTAACCCCTCTTCAGAAAAATGTGACTTAAATTGAATAACATTCTTGATTCTTCTGCTAATACTTTGTAGAAGAAGAACTAGAAGATGACCCTGCTAAGCTGAAGCAGTTCGTACTGAACAAGCTCCAAGACACACCCGACGACATGAAATCAGTCGTCGAAAAAACCTGGCTCGATAGCATTGCGTCGTCCCAATTAAGATACAGAAGACCTTGGCATCTTCTATGGGGAAATATCAGCAAAGGCAATGTTTGTGTAGCAGGTGATGCCCTTCATCCTATGACTCCGGACCTCGGCCAAGGAGGATGTTTGGCCTTGGAAGACGGCGTTATTCTAGCAAGGTGTCTTGCAGGAGTGATATCGAAACCCGATATGGAAGGAACCGATGATGAAGAAGAAGAGTATAAGAGGATTGAAATGGGGTTGAAAATTTTTTCTCAAAAGAGAAGATGGAGAAGCATTGATCTCATTACGACGTCTTATATGGTGGGGTTTATACAACAAAGGAGCGGGATGATTATCAACTTGTTGAGAGAGAGATTCTTTTCTAGATTCTTGCCTGGGAGGCTGTTAAGAAAGGCTGATTTTGATTGTGGCAATCTTCAATACTGATCTACCATTTGTTTGAATGCCGCGATTTTGTTGTGTTTGATTTCTTCTAACATGGACAAATGTTGCAGACTGGATGTGCTTGACTAAAGTTCTCAGTAACATATACTTATAAAAATCTATTTATAATTTTATTTCATAACTTACTTTTCTAATCAATCTTTAATTAATATAATACGCCATCTGATTTCTCAACAAAAAAATAATAATATACCATCTAATTAACTATTTTTTTATAAAATTATGTATATACAATTATACATGTATATAGGGATGACAATGGGTCTTTGTTGAGTTGGAATTTTGACCAACTCTATTTGACTCGAGAATAATATTTTTTCCACCGAACTTAATCTGAAAAGTACACATCTTTCATTCGATTCGATTCGAAAAAATTATTTCCTTTTCATTTTTAATCCAACACAACCTAAAATTTTAAAGGTAAAAATCTACATCTGACATGTCCTTATCCAACGTAAATATATAAAAAAAAAATTTATTTATTAAAGTATGAACTTAATTAAAAAAAATAAAGAGTTTGTATTATAATAGTTATCCTAAACTGATAAAAAATTATATTATTCTTCCGAATCAGATCAGATAAGATATATTTCACACTAAACTCGAACCCGATCTCATCGTCCACAAAATCTGACTAACCCAACGTAAATTATCTTTTAATAAAATTTAATCCTATCAAAATAACTTGAGTGAAAATCGGTCAAATTCGGATTGAATTACTATATCTACAATCTACATATACGTACGAACAAGGCCATAAAACAGGATTTAAAAGAAAACCCTAGTCCTCTGCAAGCTCGGCTCTCGTTTCCTCCAAATCCGACACTTCGTTTCATGAATCAAAGGTCAAATTTTTCTCCCTTTTGCCTTTGACTTGGAAGCATCTCCATAATCGAAATTTCACCTTTTTCCCTCTTATTTTTTACGTTTCATTTCTATTTGAAATTGTTTCAGATTCTCATAAATGACTCAAGATGTGGAGATGAAAGAAGAACCAGCTCATTCCACTCCATTCACTTTGCACCGTAAGCTCACTCCATCTATGCATCTATAACACCCATTCCCCCTCTCGCACGCATATTTTTTACGCTTAGTGGTAAAGCTTTAATTTGCTATTTTCTAATGTTTTCTGAACAGGGAACTTGTGGGTTTACTCGGATTTGAATAAATTCTTCTGGGTTTCTGTTAGATTTGAAGGAAATTGGGTCTCTGATAGAGACCGGTGCGTATGACCGTGAAGCTCGCCGTATTTTACGGGCTATAAGACTTACTATGGCTTTAAGAAGGAAGCTGAAGCCGTCTGTGCTGTCCCCATTCCTCTCTTTCGCCCTTAGCCCTGGATCCTAGGCCCTTACTCGGCTTTCTTCATACCTTCCTAAGGTAGTCTTTTGATGGAACATTGCTATATTCAGCTATCATGTGGAATAACTTCTTTTTGTTTTTAGTTTCCTCTTATGTTAGACTAGATGTATTGGTTAATTAGAAGAATTGAAAATCAGACTTGACTAGCTCGTCACCTTCACCAGTTTAGTAGAAAATGGTTGCTAGTCAAGTTTCTCTCGTCTACCTTCATGTTCACCTTAGAAATATTTTTGTGTACAAGTACAGTAAAATGATCGTAACGTATTTAGTCTTGCGTTGATTGTTCTTTTAATAATCCAATTGTTGAATTTGTTTCAGGAAGATGAGCTGAGATGGAAGTTGATACTGCAACCTCAGCTGCTCAGCGTCCTGCTAAGCATTCCCTGCTTGAGCTAGAAATCTACTGCTACTTGCTTGTCCTGATATTTTTGATTGGTCAACAAAAATACGATGAGGTACATTAGCAAATGACTCCATCAGGACGTTTCCTGTTTCTTTTTACATAATGTTATCTCGTTTCAGTCGAAGGTATACTCCTCTGCAAGCATTGCTCGGCTGAAGAATCTGAATAGGAGGACCCTTGATGTCCTAGCTACGAGGTTGTACTTTTATTACTCTCTTTGCTATGAACTCGAGGGTAGCCTTGCTGAAATTAGGAGGTAAGCTATACCTTATTCAAATTTGACTTGTATCGAATGTTGTCTTTAGTATATATTCTGATGCGTGTTTTCTTTTATGGAAATCTCAGTCTGTATGTTTCTAGAATACATGATCAAAAGTACTGTGTGATATTCTAAGTCTAATTAGCATATCTTTAATTGACAGTAATCTTCTAGCCCTGCACTGGATTGCAACATTGCGCCATGACAAGCTGGGTCAGATGAATTTTCAAATATTTAAGCAATTATATCTCTAATGTGTTAGGGTGTTATATATAATTGTTTCTATCGTGTAGGAAACGCTTCTTAACCTGCAACTTCGCAATTACCTTCATTACAATTTAAATGACCAAGCTGAGAAACTGAGATCAAAGGCACCCAGATTTGAAGCTCATTCAAACCAACGGGCAAGTCATAATCTTAGTTAACTTTTTGTCTTTGAACAGTAAATCATAAAGTAACCCATGGGCTGAGAATATTGCTCACTTCATTTCATTCAATTTAGCTGCATTTTTATGGTTATTAAATGGTTTCCTGGAGGTTTGGCATGGTTACGTTTATGGTTGTCGCTTTAGAAACTTACAGTTAGCTTTTGCTCATATGAGAAAGGTTATCCTCTGAAGTTTTTCCGGTACCTCTTTTACTTGGGAAAGATTAGGACAATCCAATTGGAGTACACAAACTCCAAAGAGTGTCTCCTCCAAGCTGCTAGGAAAGCCCCTGTCGCAGCACTTGGTTTTCGGGTTCAATGCAACAAATGGGCCATTATTGTCCGATTTCTACTAGGAGAAATCCCCGAGAGGATTGTTTTTATGCAGAAAGGCATGGAGAAGGCATTGAGGCCCTACTTTGAATTGACAAATGCGAGTAAAAAGAGTTTTTCATACTTAAATTTTCTTTACATTCTACATATAGAAAATCAAGTCTGATTTTGGAAGCATGTCTTTCCTAGAAAGAAAATGGAGAGAATTGTGTGTATATCTTCATGTTATTATTCAAATATTGGATTGCTGTTATTTATATATGATTTTAGCACAAAAAACAAAGGGTTATAATCATTTGGATTGCCTCTTTGGTTTCAGTGGTTGCTAGATTTTACTAAAAGTTTTGAGAGTACAAAATGTTTGTGTATTTTCAGGCTGTCCGCATTGGGGATTTGGAGCTTTTTAGATCTGTGGCTGATAACTTCTCAAGTACTTTCAATTCAGACCGGACCAATAACTTGATTGTTAGGCTGCGGCAAAATGTCATTCGGACAAGGCTACGCAACATAAGTATCTCATATTCTCGATTCTCACTGACAGATGTTGCCAAGAAGCTTAGATTGGACAGTGTTGCCGATGCTGAGAGCATTGTAGCCAAGGCAATTAGAGATGGAGCCATTGATGCAACATTGGATCATTCAAATGGATGCATGCTGTCAAAGGAGACGGGAGACATCTACTTGACAACTCAGCCTCAAATGGCGTTCAATTCTAGGATTGCTTTCTGCTTCAATATGCAGAATGAGGCGGTGCGTGCACTTCGGTTCCCACCAAACTCCCACAAGGAGAAAGAAAGTGCCGAGAAGAGGAGAGAGAGACAACAACAGGAGCAAGAGCTTGCAAAACATATTGCAGAGGAAGATGATGACGAGTTTTAGAAACGTAATTTATCCACCATATGATAGTTTCATGGAGTTTGAACATTTTGCTTTTAAATGCTGCAGTGGAATTCTTTTGCTTTTGCTTTTCTCAATGGCTATTGGCTACTACTTCCATTGCTTTACAATCGTACACTTCGGAGTTGCACTTGTTTTAAGAACTTTCAATTAATTTTTCAGTGTACATTTTGTTTAAAATAATTGTGATCAATTAAGTAATCTTTGATTGCGGTTACAGAGATTATCTTCGGCAGTTTTGTCGTTACCTCCTTTACTTGGGAAAGATTAGGACAGCCCAATTGCAGTAAGCAGGCACCAGTGATTGTCTCTCTTGAGCTTCTAGGTAAGCCCTTATTCATGTAGAAAGGCATGAACTACACAACGTTAGCTCGAATCTATTGGGTTGTCTAAGACTAATAAAAGGTAGTGTTGTTACTTTTAAAGGACTCGAATTCAAATAATTATGTTTGGAGAATGCGGACTCGAATTCAAATAATTATGTCTGTAGAATACATATATATTGTCGATGAATAAGAAAATTCTGAATAAACATTACTTTATAATCGAAAGTATCTTGTATTCTTGTATTGCAATAGTTATGTTTACATGATGTCACTGATGGAGCCAGCTTAGTATGAGAGGTATCATATGTCATACCAATTTTTTTTGAATTTTTTTTACATAAATTTAGCATTCCACAATAATTTTTTTTCTTAAAAAAATTGATATTTCTAAATAAATTTTCTAACTCCACCCTACATGATGTATGCTCCTACTCCACCACCACATCAAACTCCACAAGGAGAAAGAGCCTGCAAATCACGTCATAGAGGAAGATGACACAAGTTTTAATTAAGAACTGTTAAATGTTAAGCTGGGACTGTTGAAGACTTGGGTAAGTGGGGTTCCATTATTTAACCCACCTTTAAGTCTATGTTCACTTTCTAGTTGGACTTATCTACATGTCGAACCATCCAACCCAAAAACTTTAAGTAGACTAACAACCAACATCTTTTATATCAAAGTATTTAATTTTTACTTTGTGCCCACGTTATCTTCTCCTCATCACATAAATGTATCAAGACTTGTATCTTTTGTTTGAAGCATCTCCTACCTTCCATCATTATCCACACCACATTCATTAAACATACGACTCTTCATTTCATCACTCATAGCTTGGAATTCATTTGTTCTAATGATTCAGTTCCAGTTGTATCTTATGATTGTTTATTCACTATTCGGTATTTAAATCATATTATTTTTGTTACTTTCTCTCGATCGTAAAGTTAAAATTCAAATCTTTTTCAGAGAAAATTTTATGGTACGTCTAATAGGAACGTTACATACGATGTTTTATTGACAGTTTTCTATATAAAAATTGGGACGAAAATAATTGTTAATGTATCAAAATAAAATTTAAAAAAAACAAATATCGAAATGAGAAAATGTGTATAGTTCAAGGATCAAATCGTGTAATCGTTTGTTCATTTATTAAAAATATTTGACGATGACACATCCTCCGACTGGTTAACTTTAAAATCTAATGTGTACATCGAACTTTCCAAAAACAAAAAGATCATCATTTTCGTTGCTTTCAAAGCCATGGAAGACAAGATTGTCTGTTACGTTAGATTCCCAGTTGTCATTCTTATGATCTGGTTTTCGTTCTTGAACGGTGCCGTATCTGAAGTCTACAACGTTGGCGACGAAAACGGATGGAACTCGGAGGTTGACTATGCTTCCTGGTCGGAGAAATACAATTTCACCGTAGGCGACATTCTAGGTATACCACTGACTGCTCCCTTCAAACCCATCTTTTCCGATTTGATTTTCCGGTTATATGTTTTACAAGGTTTGCCATTAAGCTAATGGTACAATTGTACTTAAATCATCCCAGAAACTTGTAATTCCATTATGGATTCCTAAAATGGTTCCCGACTTCGGTCGTGATTTTGGAATATAAAAATTAGGGGTGTAAATGAATTCGATTTGAATGAATAAAGTCGCGTTTGTGTTTATTTACTTATTTTTGGAGGTGTTTATATTAAATTTGTCTGTTTAAAATTTTAATATAATGTTCGTGTTTTTTGTTCGTTTAATAAATAAACATAAATTTTTGTTCATTCTCGTTTATTTTAACTTAATAAACGGACATTATACGAATGATTAACGAACAATTCATCGAAAATTCTGTTCATTTACATCCCAACACAAAATATGTCAACATATGCTAACCTGGGTGTCCATACTCCATACTGTGTTGTAGAGTTCAAATATAACAAGGGGCAACACAATGCCTTCGAAGTGACGGAATCTACGTTCCGAACGTGTGAAACGAGCGGTGGAGTTTTAGCAAAGTACGAGAGTGGTGAAGATAAAGTGAAGCTGAATGAATCAAAGAAGTATTGGTTCGTCTGCAATGTAACTGGTCATTGCCTCGGGGGAATGAGGTTTGGGATCCATGTCAAACCAGGAAACACCACTACTGATTCGGAGCCAGCTCCATCGGCCAACTCTGCCTGTATTCCTGCTTTTGATTCTTGGAGTTCTGGTCTTCCCCTTTTTGCATTTGGGATTCTGCTCTGTTTGTCTTCTTGATCTGTGATTGCTGTTAAGGTACCCTATTTTTTTTGTTTATTTTCCAACCATTTTATGTGCCAGGGTCTGCCCCTGTATTATTGGCGAATTCATGCTGCAACTTTCAGAAACTTGGTGACATACATGGTCTGGGTCAATAGGGTTTCTAAATTTCTGATTCGTTGGTTAATTTTGGGTTTAGATCCTTTCTTATTTGTGTTAATTTTGGTTAGTTGAGATCATTCAATTTGTTTTTTTATAATCGATATACTTTCATTTCATCCAAAAGAACCAATACGATAGAATCGATACCACCACTAACAAAGCCCTACTAACGCAGCACCAAACTATACAGACAAATCAAACAATTAAACTATGTCCCCAGTTTTGAACCAAACCAACCGGACCAAGACACACTCCTTACACCTAACCAGTCTATCCCTAACACAGTCCCTTATCAGCTCAAAAATATGCTTAGCACATCTAGGACGACGTCCATAATTCTTATTATTCCTTTCATGCCAAATGAAATAAATCATAGAATTTCAAGCAAGACAAACAATCAAATTCAATATCCCTTTACCTACCCACTCTAACACTTCAGTCCAAGAGGATCGTTGCATATATAACCAACAAGCGCCTAAAATCATAGATCACACCTGTCGAACAAAGCACAAATAGATGGTCTATATCCCCACCTGCCCCTCCTCACAAAGTAAGCACCAAGGAGGCACATGCAGCCCCCAATCCACTAAACACAACCTAGTAGGCAAACGATCATACATCATGCCCATAAAACAAAACTGTACCTCGGATGCAATACCTCCCCCAAACCACCTCATACTATCCCACTTTCTCCTTTTTGTTTCTATACAAATCTCAAGCATCCTTAGCTCTGTAAGGACCAATAGGATCCCCTATGCACAACAAACAGTCTCGAATCTTCAACAATTTCCTCCACACCCAGCTGCACCATGGATGAGACCTAGTATGCCATACACACTCTCCCTTCTCAGTGACCAGGCCACCCATAAAGTATCCGCACAAGTTAGCACCTGCCAGAGGTTTCTCATCATGCACGCCTTGTTCCAATTCAAGAGCTCTTTGATCCTCAACCCCCTCCTCCTTCGGATGACAAATATGCTCTCAACTAACTCTCGCACCTCTTGCATCACCATCATTACCCTTTAAATGAAAATACGGGAAAACTTGAGTAATCCTTCTCAAAACACCCACATGAATGAGGAAAATACAAGTCCAAAAAGTTTGTAAACCAAACACCACATACTATATGAGTTGAAGTCGACCAACAAAGGAGAGACCTCTAACAACCTAACCCCGAACCTATTTAATAACCTTATCTACAAATGTGCTACAATTCAAACTCTTAAAGGCTTCTAGAGGTTAAAGAGACCCCTAATATCTTACTGGGACCATTGCCAACCTAATCCCTATAACCCTAACAATCTTATCTAAAGAAAGGGAATGAACACTAGCACTAAACCATTCCGTTTTAGAATTATTCGTTTAAAGCCCCGAGATGCCTTTAAAAAATTCCAAAACATCACAAATCCCCTGCACCTACTCCAAATTCCCTTTGACAAACGCCAAAAAGTCATATACAAAATATAGATAAGTGAGCTTTAGTTTCTTACACCTAGGGTGGAATCCAAAAACCTATGATCCGTAACACAATTCAACAAGCATGATAAAACGTTCATACTCAGAATAAAAAGATACTCCGTGAGTGGATCCCTTTGCCTCAAACCCTTAGCCCTATCAAAATATCCTACCAAGCCCTCATTTAAAGCAATGTAGAATTTCGAATGACAAACACACGCATTGATCCAACCCCTGAGCTCATCCCAAGGACCTCCTAAACATGCAGCAAAACCCCCCAATCAAGCAAATCAAAAGCCTTCTTAAGGTCTACCTTTAAAGCACATCGAGAAGAAATATTTTTACGAACATAGCCTCTCATTACTTCCTGAGCAAACAAAACATTATCCAATAATTCCCTACCCTTCAAGAAAGCACTTTAATTCCCGAAAATAACATCTGAGAGAATCAATTTCATACAATCACAATGATTTTGTAACATATTGATATATAGTATTACAACATGATCAAATCTGAAACAATATACGGAGTAGGAACCTTGGTTAGTAAAGTAATAATCGTGGAATTAAACCCTGTTGACATTACCTTAGAACTAAAGAAATATTGAACATCATCCACTATCTCCCTACCCACCACTCCCCAAGCCGCTTGGAAAAATTTAGTTGAATACCCATAAGGCTGAGGGGCTTTATCCCCCCTTCATAGCAAAAATTACATCCCTTATCTCCTTAGAACTGTTGGGAAATAAAACGAGTAATTTCCATATAACCAGATTAGTGAGAATGCGAAATAAAATAGGAAAAATAATACTTGAAATTGATAATGGAGTTCGGCCAATTATGCCTACGTCTCCAGACTACTGCAGATCTTTTACTAAAGAGAGAAACTTTACAGGTGTTTACAAAACACTCACAACTCACAAGAGAACTCTCTAAACTCTTTAGTATTGGAAGAAATAAATGATTTGGGATGATTTTAAAGCTAAATGGGTTAGGGTATTTATAGTTGAAGCTTAAAGACTAATCTTGTAAATACCCTAAAGTATACAGGAACTAAAATACAATTTTCCCCATTACCATTTTCAACAAAAATTAGGCACCGAATTCGGTTCCCCCTTTCTTGACTTTCATTTTCTTAAATCGGTGCCCCCATCTTGACTTTCCCTTTCTTAACTTTCAACAATCTCTCACTTGAAGACTGATTTTAATTTGTCTTCACACCTCGATCAATACAACAACATTTCTAGTCTTGTTAGTCTAGCATGCCAACTGAAGCTGAACACAACTTTAGTTTTTCCGTAGTCACCGTCTTTGTTAATATGTCTGCCGGATTTTGAGCTCCACTAATCTTTTCAAGTTTCAAAATCCCATATTCCAGAAGAGACCGGATAAAATGATATCAAAATTGTATGTGCTTCGTCTTGGAATGAAAAGACATATTCTTCGCTAGATGGATAGCACTTTGACTATCGCAATACAAGACATTGTTTTCTTGTTTCTTGACTAACTTTCAAGAAACTTTGGAGCCAAACCATCTCCTTGCTGGCTTCCGTAATAGCAACATATTCTGCTTCAGTTGTGGAGAGAGCAACTATCTTCTGTAGTTGAGAAACCCTACTCACTGCAGTATCTCCTAGAGTATAGACTGTAGTGCTTCTTCTGATGTTAACATTTCCGGCTAAGTCACCATCTACACAGCATGTCAGTATCGTATATCCACCTTTGAAACAAAGTACTTTATTTGTGGTACCCCGTAGATATCTGAGGATCTATTTGACTGTTTCCCAGTGTACCTTGCCCGGATTATTCATGTACATGCTAAAAGCTCCCACTGCATGAGCAATATCTGGTCTAGTACAAACCATGGCATACATCAGACTTCTAATTGTTGAGGCATACGACGTCTTCACCATGTGTGCACGTTCTTCCTCCATCTTTGGTGACTGTTCTTTGGAGAGTCTAAAATGAACACCTAAAGGTATATTTACTAGTTTAGCATCTTGTATGTTGAACCTGGAGAGTACTTTGTTGATGTACTCAGCCTGCAATAACATCAATGTCCCCGACTTTGTGTCTCTCTTGATCATCATCCCAAGAATCTGCTTTGCAACACCCAGATCTTTCATTGCAAACTGCTTTGATAATATTTGCTTCAAGTTTATAATCTCTTGCATATCTGAGCCTGCAACGATCATGTCATCAACGTACAACAATAGAATAATGAAGCTATTGTCGAACTTCTTGATGTAACAACAATGATCTGTTTGGCATCTGGTAAAACCACTGCTACTCATGAAGCTATCGAACTTCTTGTACCACTTTCTAAGAGATTGTTTTAAACCATACAAGCTCTTCTTCAACCTGCATACCAGGGTTTTCTTGTCTGCCTCTATGAAGCATTCTGGTTGCCTCATATAGATTTCTTCCTCCAAATTACCATGAAGGAAAGTTGTCTTTACATCTAACTGCTCAAGATGTAGAGTCTCTGCAGCTTTGGTATTGGAGCTACTTGATTCTATGGTTGACATGTCTTTGTACATCACATTCTCATTGAAAATGACATCTCTTCTTCTGATGATCTTTCAATTTTCGTAGTCCCAAAACCGGTAACTGAACTCATCACCACCATAACCAACAAAGAAACATTTGTTAGACTTAGCATCTAGTTTACTTCTTTCAGAAGAATTTATGTGTATATAAGAAATACAACCAAACATTTTTAAGTGTGAAATGTTTATTTCTTTTATGCTCCAAACTTCCTCTGGTATTCCGCCATCCAATGGAACTGAGGGCCCATGGTTGATCAGGTAAGCTGCAGTGTTGATAGCTTAAGCCCATTGCAATTTGGGCAATCCGACATGTATCCTCATGCTTTTGGCACGTGCATTCAGACTTTTGTTCATGCGCTCTGCTACGACATTCTGTTGCGGTGTCATGGGAACTGTTGTCTCCATCTTGATCCCATTGTTTGCGTTGAAATCTCTGAATCTACTATTTTTGTACTCTCCTCCATTATCAGACCTCAACCACTTGACTTTCAAACTAGTCTTATTTTCCACCATGGTCTTCCATTTTCTGAAGGTATCAAAGACTTCTGATTTCTTCTTCAAAAACTAAACCCACACATTCCTTGTAGAATCATCGATGAAGGTGACATAATATAGTGAGCCTGCAAGAGATGGAATTGGAGATGGTCCCCATACATCAGTATGAACCAACTCTAACTTTTCAGCCTTGGGTGTCTTGCCAATATTTGCAAAATTGACTTTCTTTTGTTTCCCAAAAATGTAATCCTCACATAGTCCGACATCTATATTCTTTAGATCCGGTAGCTTCCCTTTTGACAAAATTTTCTTCATCCTTTTCTCGCTCATATGTCCAAGCCTTTGGTGCCATAGGTTT